CAGTAGGCCTTGCTTCACTTCTAGCGTCTGGACCCGCTTTTCAAGTTGCTTACAGCTGACACAGCGACCGAAAAGCGCAGAATCCGTCCCGTCTGTCATACAGTTTTCGAGGCCTCTTGGCAGTGCATCGGTTCTTATTTCCTGTCTTATCTCTTCGAGGCTATTGTGCGTAATCTCCCTGGAGTCTAATGATTCCAGCGGCCTTTTATCGCAAGAGGCTGCTAATGAATTAAAGACCGTTTTCAGCTGCTCTTCTGTAGTTGATAAACATATCTGACTAGCGCCAAACCGTTCATCGATAGCGCAGTGGCTAACGCTCTGGCCTCCAGATCCGCAGGTACCGAGTTCAAATTCCGGTTGCACAACTTTTGTGAACGAGTTTTTTATAACAAATTGGCTCATTGTTGATGACTTTCAAACTCTTCAATTAGTTCTAGAGTAGCGCAGGATGTTTTCAACAATTATTAGAATGAAGAATTTGCCAATTATGAAGTTAAATAGGAAACGACTCAGCCGTTTATAGTTTTCGACGTAGATCTCGGAGAAAAGTTGTCAAGTATATTTGTACAGATGGTCGGACGATTGCAAATATCTTTTGATGGAGAATTTGTGGTATACTTCACCGGTGCGAATGAGAAGACTACTCAGCGGTGCTGTTCCTTGAAGAATTCGGGTAGAATCTTCCTCCTGATACCGTGGGAAATAACGTCGAGATCCGAAAATTCCAATAATGATAGAACTTTCGAGTTGATGTACTTATAATCCAAATACAAAGGATACGTTGTCAGTTCGCAATTTATTTCCACGCGACGTTCAGTCTGCCATATACTATCAAGTAGATTCGACGAAGGCTCGGAGAGCTGGGGATACGACTCAAATTCGAAGGACGCGGGTGTGTGTTCGTTTGTCAGACCATTCGCATAGGCGGTTCAGTCCTTCTTGCAGTGCCCGTTCATCATGTTCGCCGTTGATCGCTCGCCATAACTTGATGTCATCAGCAAACATGACTCCATTGCAGTCCAGTCCATTCATACAGTCGTTGACATAAATTAAAAATAGTACTGGTCCGAGTACGGAGCCCTGCGGAACTCCACTCACAACTGGCAGTGGTGTTGACTTCGTACTACCAATACACACAGACTGTGATCGACCAGTTAGAAAGTCCTTTACCTAGTTTAATAGGTTTCCCCTTATCCCTGACTCTCGGACCTTGTAAAGTAACCGGTGGTGTTGAACACTATCACATGCTTTCTTGAAATCTATGTAAACGATATCGACCTTTGTTCCTGCGTCTAACGAGCGAGACCACTGTTCCGTTGAATAAAGCATATTAGTTAGGCAGGAGTGATTTCGTCGAAAGCCATACTGAGAACTAGCAAAGAAATTATTTTCTTCAAGGAACTTCATTATGGATTTTTTGATTATTCTCTCCATGACTTTGCAACAAATGCACGTTAGGCTCACCGGCCGATAATTGTTTGTACTTGTTCTAGATCCACCCTTGTGAATGGGGTATATGTTCGCCACTTTCCAATCAGAGGGGAGAATGCTTCGGTCAAAGGACGACCTGAAGATGTGCAAAAGCGGGCTGGCGAGTTCGTAAGCTAACTCCTTCAGAACTTTTGCCGGAATTTGGTCGGTACCCGGAGACTTAACCTCCTTAAGCGCTAGAAGTTCCTTCCTCGCATTTTCTTCCGTGGAGTCGATGTTTTCTATTATTTCGTCGGTTGTCCGAGCAGGCAATCCAGCCTCGTCAAAGTCCGTTTCATCAGTGAAAACAGATACGAAAAACCGGCTTATATGTTCTGCCTTAGCGTCATTTTCGATGATATCCTCATTGTTTTCTCCTTTCTAAACTGTGACCGTCTCCTTGTTCTTTAACCTACTGTTTATGTAGCTGAGGAGCACTTTTGGCTTATCGACGGCCCGTTCCATAACTCGCGTTTCATATTCCTTCCACGACCTGCGGATAGACGATCCTACCTCGTTTCGCTTTCGACGAAATTGCTCGTAATGGGATGGTTGTTTTGTTGTTGCATAGCATCGCCATAGTTTGTTCTTCCGGTTTACTGCTTTCTTTATATCCTGCGTTTTTCAGGCAGGACGATTATTCTTTTTGACTCTCTATGTCGGACAGTTTCGATACATGATGTCTGTTAAAACTCCTTTGAGTGTTCCAATTAACGTCCGGATGTCCGGAAAAAACATCATTCCAGTCCACTGCCGATAATTCCCTTCTCATGGCGGCGAAATCGCCTGGCCAGAAATTCAGCCGAGGCTCAGTCGTATTCGCTTGTTGGCTGCGTAGGCGGTATTCCCAAAACAGCATGACATGGTCACTCTTACCCAGCGGTGTTATGGACCTAAGTTCGCCAGGGCTAATCGGGTCTTTTGTAAGGACGAGGCCCAGACAATTTGCTCATTGGTTCGCTTTGATCCTGGTTGGGGACGCAACGTTTTGTACGAGTAAGAGATTAGCCGTTAGATTCAAGAGCCTACAATCGAAGGAATTTCGCGAGCCATTTACTAACAAATAGTTCCAGTCGACCATGGGTGCGTTGAAGTCTCCGGTTATCAGTACCTCTTGGTTTTGTAACACCTCTTTAATTAGCTCAAGCATCGCCTCGTCAACCTCAGCAGTTTGATTGGACGGCCTACATACGGTCAGAAATGTTAAATTAGGTGAGCCACGCATCCGCTGTTTTAAGCAAATTGCTTCACAGTCGCGGGAGCAATCGGTTTTGTGTTCCGACTCGATGATTCCTCTCTTGATGTAGACTGCTATTCCCCCTCCTTTTTTATGCAGTCTGTCCCGACGAAAAAGTTGGTAATCATCGAGTGTAATTTCGGCATCCAAGACTTCGGTCTGTAACCAAGTCGCTGTAATAGAAATGACATCCGGCTGCGTATCCCTTACCCACACTTTCAGTTCATCTAGCTCCTGGAACAAACTCTGAGCATTTGCTTTAAGAAAGCGGAGATTAGCCCGGGCAGATTCCCGAACGATTTTTGGGTCAAAGGTGCTGGATATTTAGTGCGAGTTTTCGGGTCTATCGTCCCCTTCCGAGTCTACTGATGTTTGATTGCACTGGATGTTAGTGTGTTGGTCGTCGTTTCCTCTGATCGGTTTGTCAGATAGGAGCGTTCTTTCCTTATTATCTGGTTGTTCATTATGCTCAGTGTTATTGGTTGTCTCCAGAGGAATGAGCTCCGGACATTCACTATTTTCCCATTCAATATTCTTAGGTTCCTCTCGCCAGAATTGAATCTGCTGAGGAGTTCGGCCTTGAGCTCTCTCCATTTCTCCCGTTTGGCCGGTGAGATATCTCGCTGAAAAAAATTGTCGGGTGAGCATCTCGCAGTGCTGGTTTCCTGTTCAGCAGTAATAGAGCTTCTTCATCACTTTCGAGAATGATTTTTAATGGTCTATGATGGTTCGGCTCGCTCTTCAAATCCTTAACTGGTAATATTCTGAAAGCTTTTAATACGGTGATGTCCTCGTTCTCTTGTAATAGGGATTTGAGGTAATGCTGGAATAATTCTATATCCTGATTTATTCTGTTCTTTGGGATTTCTGAAGAAGACACAGGCACACCCTTTACGATGATGCATTTATAGCGATCAATAGGGCTCTGTCGTTTGCTTTTATACACAGAGTCTGCATTGCGAAAATTCTTGTTGTAATCAATGTCCAATTAAGAGACCGTTGTCATGGTATAGCTACCGCAGGGTTCCTCGTTTATCGAGGCGACTTGGTCATGTGGTACCTCTTTTGGCAGTGAGGCATTTGCTTGCATTTTGTTAGGACTCTGCCCTACATTGCTGGCGCTCTGACATACTTGGTATTTTCGGGATGATTTGAGAAGTCTCCCGGTTTTTTGGGATGCCCTCCTGTTATTTTTCGCTCGCAAATAAGACAGGGTCTCGGCTGTGATTGAGTCCGTAGACGGGCTGTATTCCCGACAGCAATTCATGAAGACTACACTAGCCTCCGTGAAATATGACTGACTGCTTGTGGCCGCCGCAATAGCACTGGAAGCACACTGGTCTGCATTGAGTTGGCATGCATACTCTCCACATGCAAACATGCCTGAATTCATCGCCACCCATGTGCGCAAGCAAGCAAGGCATCTCATGACAAGTAATGAGTGACATAATTGAAGCCGGCCTGTAGCGCCCCGCTGGGCAACATGCTGCAATAGTTGCTTTTGGCGAATACGAAGATTCAGGAGTGAAGAAGAAGAGACATGAAGGGGAGGAGAAGTTGAGAAAGCAGTAGTTGAATTAGGAGTAGAAGAAGCTGCAGCAGTAGTAGCAGTAGCAGTAGTAGTAGTATTAGTAGTAGTAGTATTAGTAGTAATAGTAGTAGTAGTAGTGGAACTAGTAGTAGTAGTAGTAGTAGTAGTATAAGTAGTAGTAATAGTAGAAGTAGTAGTAGTAGAAGTAGTAGTAGTAATAGTAGTAGCAGTAGTAGTAGTAGTAGTAGTAGTAGTAGTAGTAGTGGAAGTAGTAGTATAAGTAGTAGTAGTAGTAGTAGTAGTAGTAGTAGTAGTAGAAATTTAAAAAACGAGATGGACATTGTTTGCAGTGGAGCAGTTCTTGAAATGTGTAAGTATTGGGGGTGAATATGCAGGTATTTTGTGAGGAGCAGATAGGAAAGCGCAGAATGAAGTGGAGAGGTGGATGATGGCATGATCTTCATGGGAAGAATGGTTGAAATTGTGGGGGTTTGACGAGCAGGTGTGAGTTTACCTTGAGTGTAGAGTTGTTGCAGCGGTGATGGAAAACCATTGCCTTGGATGAAAGATGCAAGGGACGCAATATGTACGCCGCTGAGTAAAAACCATGTACTGAATCAAAACGCATTATAGACCATGGCAGTATTCAAAAGGACGTAGAACGAAGAAAATGCCCCACATAGCGTCCCCGTATTCATCAACAACCCGAACCTGATGGAACATGACTTCTCCAAAAACATCATGCCCCAAAAACTACACCACACATTGCCCCTGCCTATATTCCCATTCAAAAATAATCATTAACTATTTCATCCCTCTCACAACAATCCAATCCTCATCCTCACTCACATCCAATTCTCCATCTTCTTTCGCATCCTCACCACCTCCAGCATGTCTACTTCTAACACTTCCTAATGCCCCTCAGCTTCTACTTACTTCACTTCAGTAGCGTCCACCTACAGTCCTTCATTTCATCCGGGCAATGCCGGCCACAACCTCTTCACCAATCATCCTGGTGAACCACTGTCTGTACTGAGTACGGAAGATGCTGTCCGATTCAGCGGGATGCATTTGTAGACAACTGCATCATGGAGCAAGCTACTAGCATTCCATGCCTCTCAGCTGCATATATTGCAGCCCTCTGATATCGCGAGGATCAGGGAAGAGGATTATGCTCGCCATGGCTTATGAGATATGCGTCCCCGTAGTAAGCCACTCACACGTAATACATACTAATGCAAATGCAAGGACCATCATCAATACTAAAATTCATACTAATAATACTACTATTACTACCACGTATACTAAAACCAAACCTACGTCTACCATTAAAAATTAATCACGTCCACTAATACTAAGCCAACTCATCATCTAAAATATCAGGCCAAACTACAACATACCTTATCATTAATGCTATTACTATTATTACTAATAATACATCTACTAAAACTACTAATACTACCACTATTACTGCAAGTATTACCGGTGCCACTACTAATACAACTACTTGAAAGGGATTATTCCAGTTTGCTTCTTCTATGCCAAGCATTCCTCTGGATTGTGCATTACTAATAACTCTTATCGTGTTCTCATATTGCCTCTGTGTTAATCCAGCGCATGCACCGCCTGCTTCATTCTAGGTGCAAACACACACAACATGCACAGCCATTATTACACGCATTGCCATTTATCCCGACAGCAGTTCGTGAAGTCCACACTAGCCTCCTTGAAATATGACTGACTGCTTGTGGCCGCCACAGTAGCACTGGAAGAACGTTAGACTCCATTGACTTGGCATGCATACTCTCCACATGCCCACATGCCTGACACCATCGACAACCATGTGAAGAAGCAAGCAAGGCATCCCACGACAAGTAATGAGTGACTTAAATGAAGCCGCCCTGTAGCGCCTAGATGGGTGACATGGTGTAATTGTTGCTCCCGGCGAATTAGGAGATTCAGGGGTGCAGAAGTAGAGACATGAACGGAAGGAGGAGTTGACGTAGCAGTAGTTATATTAGGAGTAGTGGAAGAAGAATTAGTAGTAGTAGTAGTAGTAGTATTAGAAGTATTAGAATGTAGAATTTTTAGAGGGTCAGTGT